ATTCTGTGCTCATTTTGTATTATATCACTAAACAGGGAGGGCACATACTAACATCTTGTTGAATAACCTGTGTGAGGTTTTGAATGGAAAAATACAAGGTGGTAGGGATAAACCTATCATTTATTGTTTGGAGTATATTAGAGAGTATTTGATGAAGAGAATTTGCAATGTCCAAAGAGAGATTGATATATCTCATGGTCCTCTGACACCAACTACCACTACTCTTCTTGATCAAATGAAAAGACAAGCACAGAAGCACAGGTGTATTTTCAATGGGTTTAAAACTCAAATCACTACTCATTGGGGTGATCAGTTTATTGTGAATTTGGATGAAAAAACATGCACATGTTGACATTGGGAAATTACAGGCATGTTACGCTCACATGAAATAAGTGCAACATGGGACAAGACTAAACATGGAGCAAAGAATGTTCCTGAGTTGGAGGATTGGGTCCACCCATGCTACTAGCTAGTTACATGGGCAGAAGTGTACAAACACAAAATTGAACCTATAAATGGTAGATTGATGTGACCCGAATCACCATGCCCAACCAAGTTGCTTCCACCCAAACATGTTGTTCGGGTATGTCTTCATATATCAATATAACTGCAGTTTCTGAAGAACAAAAATTTAATCTTATGTACATTTGTAGGTGGGTAGGCCTAAGAAGAAAAGGAAGAGGGCCTATGATGAACCTGCTACACAGGGGCATAAACTGTCCAAGAAGTGGACCACTGTCATATGTGGAAAGTGCAACAACAACGCATATTTCACGAACTTATAAAGGTCAAGGTGGCCCTAATGACAAAAGAACCGGAGACACAGGAGGAAAGAAGTGAGGATGGGGGCGTTGTTAAGTGTTCGGTCTTTTGATGTAATTTGCAACTTACTTATATGGTTGTGTTAACACCTATGCTTATGTAACAAAAAAATACTTACTTTGGGCTCCTATTTTTGTATGGTCATGCATGTTGACCATGAATTTTTGTACACATTGGTAAACTATGAAACAATGTGAACTGCTGTTGTCATATACAATATCATTTTTGTTAAATTGGTGTTCTTGTCAAATAATATTTGGGATATTCAAGTGTATGGACAAATAGAAACAATACAACACACATAAGCCATGACACAATAACCTTGTTATGAAATTAAACCATTTGATCACACAAAGACTATGACATTAAGGCTACATTAACCACAACATAATTTCCTGCATTCAAACTCAAAACATACACAAACACTACATAAACCATGCTACAATTTCCTATCTTCAGACTCAAAATAAGACCACCAGTACATTAACCCTATGACCACAACAATACTTCCTGCATTCAGACATCACATTCAGACGCAACTTCAACCATGCTTCAAGTAACGAATTGCAAAAAGACCCCAACTGAAGAGAATGATTAACTTATACATTCTAGCTTTCATGATATCTTGTTGAAGGGATTCTTGGAGCTTGTTTATAGACTTGAGTAACCCAGGTATCACTTCCACCGATCTAGGGAACATGGGCTCATCAAACCACCCAATCCAACCATACAATCTCTCATTACGAAGACAAGACCAAAATCGCCTTCCAGGGTTGCGATTTGACCAGGAAGTAACGATGGCTAGATCACCATTTCTACAAGCACATATCGACATTTTTTTGCTCCTTTCTTTCTCTAACAGTAGTAGTGAATTAGTGATCGATTGAATTGGGAGGAAGAACAAGACGAAGTAATATAGGCGTTAATAAAATGTTCATAAAAGGTCCTTTAGGGTAAAATGACATAAATACACTCATGTGCAAGTCACATGGGGGCAACTTAATGTTGGAATGGACAGACATCCAACTCGGGGACCAAACGCGTGCAACTTATCGTCCGTAGGTACTATTTGAGGGAAAAAAGTACCGTAGGGACTACATTAGGGAAAAAGCCAAAACCTAAAGGACCATTCGCGTAATTTGTTCTTTAAATAAATTAAAAAATCAAAGGCAAAATAGTCTATTTAGGTAAGACAGGGACCAAACGCGTAACAAAAACAAATAGTTGGGACATTCCGAGTTAAAAAAATAAGTTAGGGACCAAACATGCAAATTACCCTAAACCATAGGGACCATTTGTGTAATTTACTCTCTCTGTTTCTCTCTGTCTCTCTCTCTCTCTCTCTCTCTATATATATATATATATATATATATATATATATATATATATATATATTGTCATGTATTCTAACTAACTATTATGTGGCTGTAAGAATAATTGTGGGTCAATAATTTAAAAAACATAAATAAGGATAAAATTATAATCTTATCTATTAATTAATTGTGGTAATTAGAATAAATGTTTAATTAATTCATTTGATTTAGGCAAGGATCTAAAACCCTAAATAACCACATAGAAAACATGTATCGTTCTTCCTACGACCCACCAGCCGCTTCCTGCACTGCCATTCCTTCGTGCTCCCCCATTTGACAGACACTATTCTTTCCGTTCACCTGATACCTTGTCTCTTTGCTCAATAGCCGTCACTGGATTTTTACTTTAGGAAAAAACGTTCGTAGTGATGGCATCGTGAACCTTAAGGCTGGCCACCATAAAATGATCTTGAACGGTGATATATTCCAGATCCAAAACATTGGTGCAAAGCAGCAACACTCAACGCATCTGAATTGGTGGTGATACAAATATTTTGCTTGGTATGTAATTCTTATTCTTTTTTCTAGACATACAAGTTTGACCAACTGACCTTGTTTGTTGTCCCTTGTCGATCGTTGTATTACATATTGATGTTATATTATTTATTAGAGAAATTAAATATCTTCCTACTTTTTCTTCTTACTTATCTTCCTACCCATGTAAAATGATGACATGTGTCATATTTGGATAAGATTAATGATAATTTAATACATTTGTCATCATTTTAAATGGATAGGAAGATATGTAGGAATGAAAATAGGAGGATATTTAATTTCTCTATTTATTATTAGTGTTTAATGTATTTTATTAATAAATTTGTTGAAAAATCAAATTGCATTTGGAAACATTATTTTGATTCATATTTGTTTAATTTGTTTTGATCTTTTTAGAATGACGTTACCTTGATGACGAGGGTTCTTACGAATATATTTTTTAGAATTGATAATATATCATTTTTTGATTTCAATTTATGAGCTTTTCAAAAAAAAAAAAAAAAAAAAAAATATATATATATATATATATATATATATATATATATATATATATATATATATATATATATATATATATATATATATATATATATATAGTGTATTTAGGGAAAAAAGAAACTCCTCCTTCATGAACGTAACTGAGATTAGTTAATTCTATGTTAAATATAAGATTTGCAAAACGTTCAATAGTTTTTTTTAGTTTATCAATTGAATTTTTGTTTTTTAATATACTTTTTTGAGTTGTACTATAATCAAACATCAAAACTATATATAGAGGAAACTACACCATCAGTTGGTGAAATTGAAACATTTATGCGTTTCTTTGTTCATATACATATCTATATGTTCCTAATTTATGAAGATGTGTTTTGTAATTTGTATGTTATAATCAAGAAGACGCATGTATCATCTTCTTAATGTCTCTAACTGAATATACATGAAATTGTTCTATCAGAGTATTTTACTTGATTGGTTATTTTATATATTGTTAGAGTATTTTAATAATGATACAAATCATGTTTTGTATCAGGGCCCATGCACTTGTGAAATCACTAACTACATTCCTTCTATAGGAGGTGATACATTGACATTGTTATTTGTATTGCTTACTAGTCTACTAGAATCATTATATCAGAATGAATTATTTTACTAGAACCATTATATCATAAAGTTGATTATGTTTTCTTTATAGGTTTAGGTTTTAAAGAGACTTGCATTGATGTGGAAAATAAAAGAAAATATGAAGAAAAAGAATGTGTTCTAACAGAATGTATGATGTCAAAATTGTTAAAACGATTCTTAGTAATAATATTATTTCATAATGAATTAATGTTTTTGTTAGAGTTTGATTTCTTTTTCTTTTTTAACCATTCTTATATTTAATCTTTAAGAGTAAATGTAATTCTTAATCATTATTAGTCATATTTTTTTTTTCCAAAAAGAATGTAGTTATTGTTTATAGTCTTATGCTTTAAGAATTATGTAATTAGTGACTCTTAAAAGAATAAAATTTGTTTCATATAAAATACATATTCTTTATAAAATTTAATTTTTGATAACATATGTTGTTAAATTCTTTAAGCATATTAATTCTAAAAAATATATTGAATGAAACCATATTATGTAAAAATAAAACCAAAATTATCTTTACTAGTTTATCACTAACATTCTATCAAAAATAGGATATGATTGAAAATTATGTTAAATCTAAAACTGAATTAATTTAAAAAAAGATAGAATTTAAAATTAATAAAATCAATTATACATTTAAATTCCAAATTTTTTCTTTTTTAAACTTATATTACTTAATTTGAAAGTAATTCTATTTTTCTTTAATTCAATACTATAAATAAATCACTTTATTAAAATAACTAAAATAATTGAACCATAACTACTTTTACAAACACATTGTCTCTCTCCAGCTAAAATACAATAACTTAACTCTCACACACACATTCTCTCTCTCTCTCACTCTCTCTCTCTCTCTCTCTCTCTCTCTCTCTATATATATATATATATATATATAATATATATATATCTATATATATATATATATATATATATATATATATATATATATATATATATATATATATATCGAAGTTGCATATACCAACGATGATGTTGATTAGTCAACTATGATAACATGTCGACTATGATAATTAGACGACTATGATAATGGTGGTGTTGTCAACTTGCGTGATTGTCAACTTGTTTGTTTGTGTTCATATGAAAGAGTCTCACAACCACGTCTTTACTACTACATTGCTTCCTATATATCTATGTCTTCATGTGTTTCATTCCTTGCACCAACCTAAACAAAAGTCGTCGGACCTGACAGATAATTCGAAGTAAGATGGGCCGAGTTGACGCGAATCCAGCTCCTCAATCCTCTGATCAAACCCCATTCCAACATCCATCGCCACCACCACAAGGCTACCCAAACAATCATGAAAACCCACTATCATCGTCACCCCTTCCTTCACAACCAGATGCTTATATGGCCGATAATGATCGGAATCAGAGCCACCCTCAGTCCACTCGTTCATTCGTACCTCAGTCGCCAGAAAGTATGCCGCCACCTGAAGCTTTCCCACCACAGAAGCCACATACGTACCCACCTCAACAATCACCATCAGCATACCCACATCAGCCGGAAGGTGTTAGTATGCCACCACCTGAAGCTTACCCACCTCAGAAACCACATACGTACCCACCTCAACAGCCACCGGCAGCGTACCCACCTCAGCCGGAAGCTGTTCAGTTTCCTCCTCAGCCACAGCCTGTTCAGTTTCCACCTCAGCAGACTAGTACTCAACAAGCTTACAGTAACAACTACGCCTTTAATTCTAATGCTCAGCCACAGGTGGTGAACTACGGTGTAGCTCCGACAGGATATCAAACGCCCGTTAAAAATGGCCCTCCGCAAGGGATTGCTGTTGGAACTCAATACCTTGCTCCGACTCAGGAATGGAGTAATGGTCTCTTTGACTGTGCTGAGGATCCAGAAAATGGTAATTTCAACTACTTCCAATTTATTCATTTAATTTATTTCTTGAATCCATTTAACTCTTGTATTACTATTATTCATAACATTTTAAGATATATAATTGGTACCATTTCACGTATTTCTTCATTTAATTTATTTTGTATGTAGAATCATACAATAAAACAAAAACAGGTTTACATTTTTGTATTATTCTGAGTGAAAAACAGAAGTAATCTCAATAAGTTTTAATGTTTGTTCTATATATCGTAATGCAATCAAAGTTACTTCTTAATTTCTATTTTAAACAAGAAATCTGAAATATATAATTTATTCAATTTGATCATTTAATAGTAAATATATATTTTGAAAATATTGATGATGGTTTTCAATCTATAACATATGAACATTTTTATGTTCTTAAATAATAATATATGAATAACATTCAGTAATTGTATTACCAAGACAAGTTTTTTGATGGTATACTTATTGAAATAATACAGTTATATTGCCCCAATGCTGTTGATTTTTTGGACAAATAATATGATTTTACACCTAAAACATAAAGCTAGCATAGTGGAAAAACTCTAAAAAACATGATTTGCAAATGACAGAGTTGATTAATATTTTTTTTCTTTGTTTATTGACAGCGATTATAACGGCATGTTTCCCATGCATCACTTTCGGACAGATTGCAGAGATTGTTGACCACGGCCAAACTTGTAAGCTAATTTATATCATTATTACACAGATCAGTTTCTTCGTTATTCGGGATCATAAGTGACAAAACATGATAGAGAATGAGAGTAATTATGTCTGGTGTTAATGGAACAATTAATGGTTTGATAAGGATTTGTTTGTGGCATGCATAATATGTGCATTTGATTGATTTTATTACATGGTTCTCTTGTAGCATGTGCGACGAGCGGACTTATATATGGTCTAATCAGTGCGTTTATTGGGATTCCATGCATTATGTCATGCTCATATCGCACCAAAATCAGAAGCCGCTATGGTTTGCTAGAGACTCCTGCACCAGATTGGGCTACACACTTTTTTTGCGAGTGGTGTGCACTTTGCCAAGAATACCGACAACTTAAAGCCCAAGGCTTGGACCCTGCTATAGGTACGTACCTTACTTGTTGCATCTTTAATGGCCAAAATCCTCTTTTTCTACTCACCATCTGCAGGTTGATCATGATTCTTTTTATGTTTTTGCAAAACCTAGATTAGTGATATCAATTCGGAAATAATTTATATGGGGTTCAAAACCAAAAATAAAATTTAAAGATGCTTGGTTTTAAAAACTGAAACTTTTTTTTTAACAGCAGCAACATTTCATTAAAACCAAAGCTTGCTAGTAGCTAGCAAAACATACATTTTAAAAACTACATCATGTTTTCTTAGTTTGAGAATATAATATGGTGTATATTTAATTGGTCATAATTTAATAAAATTATTTAATTACTAAACAAATGCCTGTTTTTGTAAAATCAAATTTGGTTTGACACTTAATGTAATTGTTTTCTTTATGCAAAAATCCAATAAGTAGTAAACTTATATATATGTGAAAATATTTTGATTGGAAACATATGTATTTCGTCATTATAGGATGGCAAGGAAACATGGCGAAGAACCAACAAATGCAGCAATATCAAGTGATGACGCCTCCAATGAACCAAACAATGATGAGTTGACCGATGTGAAATTTAAATTTAAATATTATCATTCCTATCTCTCTATTATATTGGTGTTTAATGAATTCATTTGTACCTGTAATAAGTTTTTTTTGTTGCAATATATAATTTCCTTTTATTTTCAGTCAACGTTCTAAATAACGTAAAACGCACGTGGCGTGGTTGTAAAGTATGAACTTGATGATACCTTGGTGCCTAAGTTGGAACAACAAGGAAAGAAATAAGGGAGTGAAACAAGGGAATAAAACAAAACCAGCTAGAGGAATAGAGATTACTTACTAAACAATACTTTTATTGTTGGAAAACTTAATAAAAATAACTAAAACATTTCCCTTATTTACTTTAGTAAAAATAGCATCCTAAACTAATACAAATACTGTTTAAAAGGAAAGTTTCCAAAAATGCCCCTGAAGGCTATTTCAGGAATTACGCCAATATTTTCCCTCCTAATTCATGAACAAACACTTCTCATCTGTTCAAACTTCACTTTAGCCATAGATTTGGTGAGTATATGAACCTGTTGTTCAGAAATTCCCACATGTTGCACGATGACAACTCCTTTCTAAACCGTATGAAGTGGTATCTTGTTTCTATATGCTTGCTTCTTCCATGGAACACCGGGTTCTTCATCAGTTTTGAAGTTGACTTGTTGTCAATATACAACACTATAGGGTTGATTCTTCTTTGAGTTAACTCTCCAAGTAGTCTTCGTATCCAAACTCCTTGATTTGTGGCACTTGTAGATGCCATAAATTCTGCTTCAAATGATGAAAGTGCAACGCTTTGTTGCTTCTGCGAGGCCCGTGTAACAAGGTTCTCATTAAGATAAAATTCCATACCTAACGTGCTTATCCTATCAATCACATCTCTAGCTAAATCCACTATTAGAATATAGGCCTTTAATGGCACGAGAACTATGACACACACTGTGTTTAGGATACACAAAAGTGAGTGTTGTAAAATTAATGTCATTTCTTCTAAAATTTAAAATCTTTAGGACATCTTTTTATGCATATTATAAAAACACAGAGGATACCCATCAAATACGTGTGTCGTGTAGAGGCATTGTCTTATAATTGTTTTAGCAAACGCGTGTCCATTATCCCCATCACAAAATGACCTCCAACTCTAGGTTTTTTTTTTCACAAAATCGCATCCATTATCCTCATCCGACATGAACGCTTTGGAACGCTGGTGACCTCGATCAGGCTCACCTTACCTTGTCGGTGACTGCATCCCGACTCCACTTCCCCTCTACCTTACTCCACCTAGATCATGCTCACCTTAGTTCATTGTACCCACCCATGGAACCACCATATCTCCCACTTGATGGAAAAAATTTCAAAAAACTCTCTAATTTAGTCTTAATCTCTCAAGTCTCAATATTAGGAATTCAAATCTTGATTCTTGTTTGTTTCTGATTTCCCATAGATAAATCGAAATACACACATGCATAAAAACCCTATATGTATAGCCAATGACACTATCTACTTCACAACTTCTAACATACTCCAAACCATACATAGTTGTTCCCTCTATGTACCTCAGAATATGTTTCATGACTTGTAGGTGCTGTGAAGTTGGTCATGAAGAAACTCGTTATTCCAACCAAAAACGTGATGTTTGTTCGGGTATGTGTCAGATATCTTAATCCCCCAATAATACTTTTGTATAAAGTGGGATCAACATGTTCTCCTTGTTTATCTTTACTTAGATCTAGTCTAGGTTCCAGTGGGTACTTGCAAGGATTACAACCAATCATACCTGCTTTTTCAAATATGGATTTTACATAAGATGTTTGTTTTAAGGTGATTCCCTCCTTATGTTGGCTTACCTCATTCCCAAGGTCACTCATATCAATCTTATTGCTCCATTTTTGTTTGAACAACTTTATATCATCACCATAATTTCCAGTGACAATTTGATCATCCACATATATTCAAACTATTAGTAGATTCAGTTTTTCTTCCTTGTGTAAACGACATGCTCTTATGGAAATCTTACAAAACCTAAATCTTTTAGACATTTTTTTGTCCGTGAGTTCCAAGCTCTAGGAGATTTTCGCCATTCGTACAACGCCTTTGATAATTTGTACGCCAATTTTGGCTTGTCTTTCTTCATAAAACCCTCTAGCTGAGTCACATAAGCCTCTTCCTATAATTCTCATGAAGAAAGGCTTATTTTACATCAAGATGATGTATAATCCAACTATTCTTAGATACTAAAGCAAATAGAATATGCATAGTTTCTATTATAGCCACTAGTCCAAAAACTTCATCGAAATCAACCCCATGTTTTTACACATAACCCTTTGCGACTAACCTTGTCTTGTGCTTCGAGATACTTCCATTTGGATCTCTTTTTATCTTGAAGACCCAGTTGAGACCAATGGGTTTCTACCTTTTGGCAACCTTACTAGCTTCCAAGTTCTGTTTTTTTTTTCAATTGCACTTATCTCACTCTTCATTGTATCTTCCCATTCAACAATTCCTTTTTCCATGGAGTAAGGTGTGGGATCCTCTTCTTCATATAGGAAAAAAAGTTCACTATAATCTTTACATATATCAGCCAAAGTGTGAAATTTGATTGGAGCTTCACCTGTAGCCGAGGTCGAGCTCGTTGCACTTGTCGTATGGGAAGACTTGGGAATATTATAAGGGATTTTAGGTATGCCATTATCCTAATTTGTATTGTATTCATTTGATTTCTCGCCAAGTTGCTCACTATCACCAGAGGTGTTTTTCATCAAGATGTAATATATCAAAGGTGAAGATTTCGTTTGATGTTCCTTTGCACTTTGTTGCTTGCCCCTATTTCCATGTTTTATTTACTTTTAAAATCACATCTCTACTTACTTGAATTGATCCCATATCAGGATCAAACAATCTATAACCTTTCGTACCTTTTTATACCCCCAAATGAACTAGCTTTTTGCTACGAACTTCTAATCTACTCAAATGCCTTCCAATTACTCGTATGTGTGCAATACAAAAAATACTCATACATGATCAATTTGTGGTTTTCTTCCAGTCCATGATTCATATGGTGTACTACCTTTGAGAGATTTAGTGGTTACGCGATTAAGAATGTAGATCGCATGAGTGACCGCCTCGCCAAATAACACATCAGGTGCTTTCATGCTTTTCAAACTACTTTTTTCCATCTCCACATCGGTGCGATTACATCCTTCTATTATCTCATTATGCTGTCTAGAGTAGGGTGTTGTATAGTGCATGTTTACGTCACTTTCCTTGCAATAAGAGGTGAATTGGTTTAAAAGAAACTCACTTCCTCGATCTATACGAAGTGTGAAAATCTTCTCATCGGTTTCCACTTTGACTTTTTCTTTAAATTCTTTAAATACTTGCAAGGCTTCATCCTTACTTATCATTAAGTATGCCTACATAACTTTGTATAATAATTGTAGTGACCCGGTTATGATGACGAATGCGGATATGTAAAGATTAAGTGAATCAATTAACCACGAAGAACACAAAGAGTAAATAATTCATTTAAGCTCTCATTAATCTAATAAGATATTACAAAGTGGGTTATGTAATAATTATCTCACTAGACTAATCTCACAAATGGTTCTTACATAAAATGGGAGCCACTCCCTTACTATTTATAGGAAAGGCTAAACCCATTACACATCCAAAGAGGGTAAGCCGCATCCAAGGAGAACTTTGCACCCTAACATTCTCCCCCTCAAAATTAGGATTAGATGTCCCGACTTCAATATCCAAACGAGCTCCAAGCGATCAAGACCAACTCCCTCTCGAAGTAACACTGGTCTTCAAATCCACTTTGAAAAAAAAAATATACAATAATCTTCGAATACCCATTTCAACATTCTCCCCCTTTTTATAATCAACAATTGATTATAAAATCCACAAGGGTATGAGAAACGCTCATGGAATGCACCATACGAAACTCGCCATTGATGTGTGACAAAAATGAAACCAAGAAAATCTTGCACGAAAAACAATCACGAAAAGTCGAGGAAAAAATCTTCAAAAGTTGTGAAGATTTCGATTTCTGGGTGAGAGGTGCAAGAAATTTGAAAATTGGGTAAAAACTGTTATTTTCGCAAATACTGTAGGGACATGTTGTAAAAAATCAGCTTCAAATGCGAAACTTTACCCCAAATGCGAGATTGGATATAAAGTGTGATTTCGCATAAGCTTCAGGGACTGAATCTGAAAAACCTTCCTACTTCACATAAATATACCAGAATTCAAAACTCGGTATAAACTGTCAAAACTCTTAAATTTCAGGTACTTAAATTGCAACATCGAATCTTCTTCTTCCCCAATTGGTTCTAGACGCGAAAAAAACAACAATTGAGACTCAAAACACTTTCGACTCGAACTACAGTCGAAAATAGACCACTCGACTCAAACGAAGTTTCGATCCAATCAGTCGAAATCGACTCCAAACAATTCACGTTCGACTCCTAACCAGTTATCAATTTCCACTCATTCACGTTCGTTGAGCTTTCGACTCCAATATATTCTATAACAGTCGAACTCTCGATTACCATAAAATCAAGACTCCAATTCTCTCGGTTTTTTGTTTTCAATCCCAAAGCATTGACTTTCGACTCTAATGATCAACAATTTCGACTCCAATTCATTCCCATTCAACTTCAATAAAAAACGCTTCAAATGTTCAATCCCAAGATAACAAATTTAATTTCCAAGTTTTCCCAATCAATACCAAAATCGATTACATAGAAATCATCATCCAAAATCGAATTCAATGATTCCACAATCGATATTGATTCCATATAACTTTCAACTTCAAACACAATCAGTCGAATCCATTCCGATTTCCAAAACATCCATTCGATGGTAACCTTGAGTTGAACTTTCATTTCCAATCTAGTTCCTCACAGATAAATTTTCGATTGAATACTTCACAAAATCAACATCCAGTTTCGACTCAAAATCAAGAAGTCGATCATTCTTCTCAATCGATCGAACCAACATCAACCCATTCACTTTGAACTGATAATTGGAATGAGTCGATTCTAATAAAAGTCATAAATTTTGACTTTTCATAATTAATTTTGACTTCTCGATTTGAACATTTTTTTCCAATCTCCAAAACAATTACGTTCGA